CCCCCCCCAAAAAAAAAAAAAAAAAAAAAGGTGTGGGGGGGCATCCAAGAGACGTAGGAAAGTTCTTTATCTGGTTCTGTATGGTCCTCTGGTCACCTCTGCAAGCTGGTCAACTTGATGTTCACCTGGGGGTGTTTATTTGCTAGCCTGTTCCTCACCTTGCATATTGTTGGAGCCACTGGTCCTTAAAACCTGGCTGGAATTCCGTTTGCATCATTGGCTTAGTTGGTCCTTTAAGCTGTGCTCTGTGCCATGCTTCCCTCTCCCAGACACTCCTGCTCCCACCCCTGGGCTTGTTAGCCAGCTCTCCGCTTTCCCTTATGTTAGTCTTTACCCCTCTCCTGGCTTTAGCACACAGAGGGCTGCCGAGCACAACAGAAGCGATCAAAAATGACAAACCCTCCTGCAACAGGGGTACAACAGAGGATCTTCTTGTGTCAGTTTTGGCAAGGCCCCCAAACTAGGCCCTTTGGCCTACACTCCAAAGTAAGATGCAGGCCCACCCCATCGGGGCTCACATGGTCAGGAACAGGTTTTGTGACCCTTTGCTAATAACCCACCATCATCCTAATAAAGAGGCTGGAGGAGCTAAGGGGGAGAGAGGGACACTGTAGACGAGGGCTCTGGGGAGTGCTGTCAGTGGACTATGAGGTTGTCCCCTCACATCAAGCCTAGGGAAGGGGCCTGTAATGGGACCACTTGGAGAATTTTATAGGTGTGTCCTGGAGCTTGGAGGCACAGTGGTCTGGTGTCTGACACTCTGAGGATTCTAAAGGAGGAGACACCGTGTCTGGCTAGTGCTCTGACCTCAGAACCAAGAGATGGGACTGCATGGGATGGCTTGTCCTTTCTGACTTTGTTGGGGCAAAGAATAAATGAATACTTGCTAAGGACCAGAAATGGGTCAGACGTGTGCACTTGCCCCTCAAGGTAACTGCAGGAGAAACACCCTTGGTCATGGAATGGGTGTGAGCAGAAAAAAACAACACACCCCACGAAGGGAGTTTTCACCACACAAGAAGAGTCAGTGTTAAACATCGACGAGGTTCAGAGAGGAGCAAAAGCAGGCCCCGTGTCCTGAGTGTTCCTCTCTTCACTGGCTCTACTCACTTGAATGCTGGGGAATCCAGAGGCAGCATGTGTGAGAAGCAGAAATTCCATGCAGGGAAATGGAGGGGAAATCAAGGCACTGATTTCCCACCGCAGGTGGCCGGCCTGAAGCTGGCCGGAGTTGGAGGCTTGAAATAACTTTAAATGAAGTTGAAAACATTGATGGTTTCATTGGACTGGGCATATAATGAACTGAGCCTGTTTGGGAGACTCAAGGGGACTGGGTGAATTTTTACTCCATATCTTAACAAATGTGTCCAGCTTGGTATTTCATCCAGGGCAGTGAGAGAACTAGCTAGCTCCTCAGATCTGGGGACAGGGGAGTCAAGAAAACATTTCTTTTTAGATGTGCCCTTTTAGTCCTGTTTATGAAACAGGAGAGTTACACTTCTTTTTGAACACGTGAGTAGGTCTGCATAAATTCACCCAGGCACTTACTTGCCTAACTACACAGTCCTCCTTTTTTTCTTCCTAAAGTTTCAGAGTGGCCTGGCCCCATCTCTAACTAAGCCTGGTGGAGTCTGCTCCTCTCCAAGTCCTGTTTTGCTCATGTGTTGCAGGAGGTTGGACTGTACCTCAATAGCTCAGGTCATATCTCAGGTATTTTCTGGATTGGTGGTTGTGTGATTCTTCATGTTTTTAAATTTTCAAATTTGTTTCAATTTCTGCCTTTCTGCAGTTCTTCAGAATGTTACGGGGCTACGGCCAAGGAGCAGAGAAAATGTGACTTGTGTGAGTTGTTGGTTTTACGCATAGATCCTCAGAGGGAACTGTTCAAGAAGTTTTCACTCCTTAAAGCACAAAGAACTGTGCGTGTTGTGTTGTGATGGGAATTAGTCTATAAAGATATTACAACATCTGTGTAATTTTTAACAGCAAAGATGCTAAGCTTTGGAAATGATCATTATGTATTCACAGGAGGGTTTTCCTGGGAAAAAAAAAATCTAAATGGTTCTATTACATTTTAAAATATTAATCATCTTTTTTCACCACTTAATTTCCCAGGTCTACGTGGCGTCCAGGCCAACACTGTAACCACTGAGAAACACCAACCAAGGATAATATCAGTATTTTGGCTATGAGGTTCATACGTACTTTAAAAAAAAAGTTAAAGAAAACAATTATGTTATAAATAGTGGCTTTGAATATTTTAAACTAAAATTCATTCTTAAATTTTGTTGTAATTCATTAAAAAAAATTCATGACAAAATCCACAGTATTTTAAGTGATCTAGTCTCATTCCAAAACCCACCTTGCCAAGGCAAAAGCATCATCAATAAGACTTGCACGATCAGCAGAAGAAAAACTCTGGAAAGAGGGAGAAAAAGAGGTAAAAAATGTGGTTCTTAAAGCAAAGTGTTAAGATGCTGTTCTTAGAACAAAAATAAAACAATTCACAGTCATTGCTACTCTTACCTCACGGTTGGAGGAAAGATTGGTAGCGATCAGTTCCCAAGTTGGTACTTCATAATTTACACGATAAAACCCAATGTGATCTGGGTTTATTTTGAGAAAACCATTTCCACCAGGCTTAGGAGAGTTCAAAGTTATTCCTGTGGTAGTAAATAAACACTAATGAGAAACATATTTGCATATAATGTAAACACAGAAATTAGACCCAGAGGGTAAAGAAAGAAAAGAAATATTAGCTCAAAGACCTGAGTTTGATTTGGATCCTGAGCCCCAAAGCCTAATTCTTATTTAGTTGCCCAACTGTAGAATGTCACTATAGTGCCTAAGCTGAAAAAAAAAAGGAATGTAAATTAGCGTCCTGTAATTTGTGACTTATACTTTTTACTGGCAGAAGCTTGCCAAATGTGTAAAATAATTTTGTGCCTATCAATCCTTCACTAAAAGAAAACAGTGCCTAAAAATAGAGAAGTTATAATGGATTAATTAATTACACAAAAAATATTCACTGGAACAGCCTGGGGAGGCGACAAAAATGTAAACATTTAAAAGAACAGTTTGTTTATTTAAATCAACATTCAAATGGGTGGAAATGGCTATGGCTAAGCAGAATAATGACTGGAGAATCAGCAACGCTTTAAAATGTCCAGAAGGCTTGCGATAGAACTGAAATCCAAACATGACATTCTTGACTTCATAATCCATTTCATACTTGCTCTTCCAATTTTATTTATCTTTGTAAAGTCTTCTACTTCCTTATTTCAATTGATTACATCAATGCCTTTTCATCAATGGATTTTCTGAATTAACTTTCTAAAGTAGCATCCACTATTTACATAAGGCTCTAGTAAATAGATTTTAGAAGCTCAACACTGAAGGAACAGAGGCTTATGTTTTAGGTAAAATACACCCTTAAAGTAATAGCTATGCTCCGACATGACCAGATTTGTTAGGATCATGTGTGTGTGTATAAACATGGTTTGCATGGACAAAGTACAATTTACATAAGGGTGTGGGAATACTTAGTATATTAACATATTTGAGGAATTGCAAATAGTCGGATGTAGTGACAGTGTAGGATGTGATATTGGGAAACAGGAGATGAGGCCTGAAATAAGGGCTGGGCTTCAGTGTGGAGCCACGTTAAGGAATCCATCTGCTGAGGATGGTAAGATGGTGAAGATTTTTAGCAGAAAAACAGGCTTAAGTTTGTTTTCTAGAAAGACAATTTTGATAGCGGTATGAGAGACCAATTGCAAGGAGATTCTAGAGCCCACTGCAATGATCTAGGGCAAGAGAGAGGAGGGCTTACACTAAGGCAGAGACGGTGAAAACAGAAGAGAGGCGATGTATTCAAGAGACACACCGCAGGCGAAATCAACACCGTTCTTTTTTCTGTTCTTTTTTTAGCATTTAAAGAAGCCATTTATTGAGTTTATCGTTTTGTTTTTGCATATTACACTCTTTTTTTTTTTTTTTCCTGCCGTGGAGGGTTAGGGGAGGGAAAGGCCTGCACGGTGGGACGAGCATGTCACGCTGCAGAGCAAGGAGAGGGATCCGTTTGGGAGGAAAGGCGATTTAAATTTTGGAAGTGGTTGCAAGGTTTGGAAGATATCCAGGACACGGTAGTTTCTCCTAATATATATGTGTGCCCTCTTCAACAGGACAGTATGTTTCTTTAGGACCTTTCAGAATAGACACTTGACAAATTATAAACTTTTACCTCACTCATGTAGTATTTATCTTTCTTTGTCATTCTCCCGTGGACAGGTTGTTAAAAGGAAGCTAATCTTTTGGCAACCGCACCCTCTGAATGTTTGTATCAGGAGGAGAGCCTCTGGCGAAGCACAGGGCCATGTGTTAGGGGAGAAAGAGAGTGGGCTTGCGGGGCTGACAGATGGAGGAAAAACCCTTGCTCTGTGACTTACTGGCTGTTTGATCTTGGCCAAAGCACTTGACCTCTCTGTGTTCCAGTTCACCATGAGGGAGCTAGGGATAAAATTCCCTCACAGGGCTGTTGTGAAGATTAAATAAGATAACACAGTAAAGTGTTGGTCATATAGTTATGTGTCCAACAGATGGTAGCTATCCCATTATTATGAAAGGGGATATGCCTCCAGTTCTATAAATAGCAAAGCAAATATAAATAAAGTTGAGAAGTTCCTGGCAATCCATCTAAACACTGCAGTATTTTAGTGTGCTTTATATATACCTAGTTAAGCCTGTCTAAAGTTACTGTGATTTTTCTCACTTTATAGATGAGGAAGCTGAGATCCAGGAAATTAGTAGTTAGAGACTTTCCAAGTTCATGCTTCTTTCAGAACAGTTGTCAACAGCGAAATCCTGTTGGGTTGTTTAGTTACACAATGAAGCAATTAGGAGTAAAATATTGATGCTTATTCCAGAAGTAACGTTATGTTTTTATCTTCTGTGTGTGTGTGTGTGTGTGTGTGTCTTCCACATACATGCACGTAAAAACACACAATACACAGAATGGACCCTTACTGTTTTTATGATTAGTAATCTTTTTCATTTGAAATTATATTGTAAGCACCTGCAATTTTGTTTTATATACATAAAAATGTAAATTTAATGGTCACATACTCTATTACTCAATTTATGAAATACTTTGTTTCTTTTCATGCTAATTTTGTGCACAGAAGTGTTGAATGAACTATTTCTAGGTAGGTGTTCATTCTAGAAAATTATTTTTTTTCTTTCTATTTTTCTAGATGGTATAGAAGACAAATAATTACCTTTTCAAAATTTCATGCAGAGGTTATTTAATTTCAACCCAAATAGATTTCAGTAACAGAGCACACATAACAGTTCTTTAATGTACTATTTTATATGAATAACTATAACAAACTTTAGACAACTGGACAGCTTGTGATAGCCTGAGATTCCTAGGAAAAGAAACATTTTTCTTTGGTGATAAAAATTCTGTGCTGCATTAATCCTTATGTGAATTCTTTTTCAGTGTAAAATGACAGCTTATATCTTATTCAATTTTGTGTATCACTTAATAGTAAAACAGCTGAAAGATACAAGAATAGTACTTTTTTACTAATGCACACAAACTTTACTGGAGAGCTAAAAATTTCAAGCAGATTGCACTATCAGGATTTGGGGTCAAGAAGAGAATTTTAATCTCTGGAATTAAGACTAACATGAAATTTGTAAAATGGATTGCTTGTCCATTTATGATAATGTTTTCAACAAGTTACTTATTCAAGAAAGTATTAATGATTGTGCCCCTTCTCAATTTCAGCACATGGCTTAGAGAATCTCCCAGGAAAAAAAAAAAAAAAGCTGTAGTATTGCTATGTAATACATAATATGCAGGAATCTGGAAAGCTGCAACCTGACTGTGATGATGAAGGATTATCTTTGGCAGTGGTTTTGGTGATGGAGAAGACCTCCTGCAAAGAAGAGTTGGATAGTGAAGGTCTGTCAGTGTGCCTCCAGCCTGCCCAAGGAAGCAGGTGCCCAAGTGAGCTGGTATATACGTGCCAGATCTTTGGACAGAGCTGCTTCTACAGAAAACAATGTATGTGGCAAAGACTTGTTAGTTATTTTGCACACTGTTCCCATTTCCTCCTGGGTGCAGTTACACTCTAATTATGAGCTTCCTTTGCAGTTAGGTGGCAATGTCTGATTGAAAACTGGCCATAAATGTGGGCAAAAGTAATAAATGCTCTTCTAGGCCTGATCCCTTCATTATCTTTCTCTGCTACCTGGCGAAATGCAAAAGATCTAGCAGGGGTGCCCCAGATGAGGGGCAGGGGGGAATGGAACCATAAGAAGAAAGAAAACAGAACTGCTAAGTCATTTAGGGGGGGAAGAGCCACCTAGGAGACATGGCAGGTCAAGAACACTTTCATTGGACTGTTGCATGAACAAGAAATTTTTATTGCGTAGAGTCACTGCTAATAGCCTCTAAATGCAGTGATTAGACTCCCCTGGGTAGTGGGATGTGTAAGGCTATCACAGCTTGATGACATCTCTAAAATAACTGATCTACCTTAGTTCTTTCTTTACCCTTATTAAGTACACTTTCTTCCTGGGAAGAGAAGCCTAATTACCTGAGTATTCTGGTTCACTTTGGCAAGTATATCTTTATTTGTGTAAATTAACAAATTAGTATTCTCATGTATTTGACTTATCTGAATAAATCTTCCAAGACTTGGTTGACCAGAGCTGAACTGATGAAACTGAGCTTCTCAACCTGCAAAACTGAATCCTTAATGATTCAAAGTCTAAACATTCCATGAAGCTCAACTTGAAAGAATAAAGACAGTCTCTTGCTCTCTCTTTGCTATTAAATTTAAAAATATATTCCCATTATTATTTTGATATGAAATACTTATATATAACTACTATCAAATCTTAGTAATATCCTACTTATTTGATAGTTAGGATTTGGCTATCTAAACCATCCAGAATGGGTTCTCAAATTTGAAAGAATTACGAAGACAGTCATCACACGGTCATGGTGAAGGATTGTGTCCTAGATCCTCTCCTAGACCCTATGTATCTAGGGATGCCTATTTTAAAATATTATGTTTTAGCAAGATTAATTATCTGATATCACGTGATATCCTTCAATTCTTCTGGATGTTAGAAAGCAGCAGATTAAAAACAAAAAGGTGGTATGCTACTAAATGTAGATGCACTGCCAATAGCCATAATAGTGGCTAATACTAAAGATAGAGAGAGGTATGAAGTACACACAGGTAACCTCTAAAAGCACAGCAGCGGGGCAGACACACTTCCAGTGAGCAGTGACTTCCTAAACTCAGTGTTACCATGTGCACAGCACCCTACTGGGAACAGGGCGGGCAGGCGACAAGGAGAGTGACCTGTAGTTAGTATATTCCCAGAGCTTGTAATTTACTTAAAAAAGAAAAGTCAGAGCATATGAAACGTAAACAACAATGATGATGTTTTAAATATAAAGTAATAATACTAAGCATAAGGATTAATAAATCTGACAGCATAAACTCCACTATAGATGGCAAGAAGAGAGATTTTTTTTTTAGGGCAAGTTAGAATAACCAGAGAAGCTTCTGTGATAGAGGTTCTCTTCTTGAGTTATAGATTGCTTGTTTATTTTTTTAATGTTTAAAATATTATGTAAAACACAAATGTAAATAAAAGGCCTTGGGGGAAGTCCCAGCATTGCCTGGGAAGTTTCTAGCTGATGACTCATCAAGGAAACCTAGAGGAGGGAGGTGAGGCGGGTAACCTGAGCTGACAGCCCACTCAGTGCTCTCAGGACTTGATCTCCTCTGTGCCCTGAGCCGAGAGCAGAGGAGGCCCCCAAACAGGAGACAGGAACTTAGAGCACAGCCTAAGAATGGAGCCGGCACTTTGAAGTAGGAAGAGATGTCTAGTTTGCTTCTGGCTAAGTGACCAGTCATGATTCTGAAGTTTCAGATAAAAATATGTTTTGTCACCAAAGCTCTGTGGACATTAGAGTTTATTAATTTGTTCATTGATTGGTTCATTCATCCATTCAATAAAATACTAGGTACCTGCAGGAGATACAGAACAAACACACACACACACACACAGATAAGCTCCATTTCCCCAAGGAATAATCTATGGGAAGGGGACAGACAGGTAAGTCATTAGTTATAGCCAAAAAAAAAAGCGCTAACTCTGACAGAGGGCTAGAGTCTCTGTGAGAGCCCTGCTCTCTCACTTTCATCCTAACATGCTCTGTCCAGAGCACAATTCCTGTCTCCACTTGGCCAAGGCTGTTGCCCATTTAAACTCTACCTGTAGGCCCCCTACCTCTAAGCCTAGATGCCTTCTTTAGTAATCTTTCCTGAACCCCCAAATCTGGGTCAGTGCCTCTCCAGTGAGCCCCTTTGGATATTATCACAAGAGGCACTTATGACACAATATTATATTTGCCTGCTGACCTGTCCACACCCTCCCTAGATAGTAAGTGCCACAGGATAAAGACCGTGCATTTTCCCTTTCAGTATTGTCTCCATGCCTATCCCTGTGTCTGGCACTTAGGTTGTCCTCAATAAATCCTTGCTTGAAAGAGCTAATTAATAATTTAACTAATTAAAGACGAAATTCATTATTCAAATATTCTGTCTAATATGTATATAAAACATATAAGAAAGATGTTTATTGTTGTTAACGCTTGAAATTTATTTAATGAAGCACTTGAGTAAGCTTTAGTTATCTGAGAAATTCACTTGTGTGGAAACCTCACTCCATAAAAAATGATAGGCAAATTGTGTCAGTGTAGGTGAATTATTCATGCTATTAAATTTGTAAACAGCAAGTCAAGCAGCTTCCAAGACATTTCTCCAACCTTCAATTAACCAATGGTGATCAATGGTGAAAATATGCAGTAATAGTTAAACCAAGTTCACTGAAAGCCTCCCAGTGGAATCCTGGCCTCGTTATGCCTTGAATCAGTGCTATTACACATTTTGAAAGGTGCCTTTTTCTCTGATTCTCCATTTTCCTTTGGCAAATGTGCTTCTGAGTAAGAAAATGGTCAGAAGACAGTTTAGGAAAAAATAGAGCTTGGTACTCAAACACAACATAATCATAAAATGCCGAGACAAAATTGCATTGATCGGGGAATTCTGGAAAGATTCAACAGAGTCGTTGACCACTATAATTAAATTGTTAGCATAAATGGCCAAGAAAAAGTTTTGTTGTAAAAGCAACAGAAAGGGATCTTAGCTTGGCAATTGCAAAGCTGGTAAAGATTACAGTAAAAGTAAAAATAAAAAATAAAAAATCACAAAAGAATTTATAATGAAAGTAAAAAAACCCAAAGTTGAAAAGCACCTATTGTACCCACACAGACTTGCACACAAGCGTTTATAGCAGCATTATTCACAATAGCCCAAAGGCAGCAACAGCCCAAATGCCCATCAACTGCTGGATAGATATATAAAAGGTATATTGATATGACACAAGTATAATTTGGCAATAAAAAGAAATGAAATACTAACACATGCCATGAGATGAACGAACCTTGAAAACATTATGCTAAGTGAGAAATCCAGTCACAAAATACTACATATATCATTCCCTTTATATGAAATTTCCAAAGTAGGAAACTCTATGAGGATAGAAAGTAGATTAGTGGTTGCTTAGGGCTAGGGGTGTGGGAGAATAGAGGGGTTTCTTTTCGAGGTAATTAAAATGCTCTAAAATTGACTGTGTGGCCCGGCCGGGTGTGGCTCAGCTGCTGAGCGTCGACCTAGGATCCAGGGGGTCGGGGTTCGATTCCCGGGCCGGGCAGGTGCCCGGTTGCAGGCTTGATCCTCGGGCCGGGGCGTGCAGGAGGCAGCCGATCAATGACTCTCTCATCACTGATGTTTCTATCTCTCTCTCCCTCTCCCTTCCTCTCCCTGAAGTCAATAAAGATATATAAAAAAGAAATATTTTAAAAATTGACTGTGGTGATGGTTACATGTATCTAAGAATATAATAAAAACCATTGGGCTGTACACTTTAAAAGGGTGAATTGCACAGCATGCAAATCATATCTCAACAAAGCTGTTTTATATAAATAATCTACTAGAAATATGGTAAAATTTTACTTGCCAGGGGAAATAATACCTAATTAATATTTTAGAATATTTTGCAGGAGCAAATAGGCATATGCAAATAAAGAATAGGCTATCTACTTTTATGCTCAAGAAGCCGTGGTTGTAAAATTGAATGCCAAACGCTATTCTGACAGGTCCTAGTGAGGTGGGGGGAAGGAGAGTCTCTATCTCCTGTCCTGTGTCACCTGCAGGTTTGTGTTAGATAAGAAATGGTTTTTGAAACACAAAATAAGTACAATGGTAAAAGTATAATCAGCAGGATTCTTCTGGGATGGGTGCTAAAACATGCCTTACTTATTATTTTTTCAGCAATTTGGATGAGACATGTGATAAGGTCTCTTTGTTTTTATATAACTAAAATTTTTCAAGAAAGAAAAAGACAAATCAATGGAGACAGAATACAGAAATTCATTTCAAATCAATTTAAGTGAGCAGAAGACTCACAACTGAATTTTAACACAGGCAAGTGCCAAGAAATTCATTTAGGGAGATGATGGATGGATGGATGGATGGATGGATGGATGGATGGATGGATGGATGGATGGATGGCTATAGATACAGAGAGTGCCTTGAGCTATTGATGACAACTCACGGCTCAGAAAAGATCATTTGAAGTAATTAAAGATTCTAATATGTTGATTTAGGAAAATGATAAGTCCAATTTGATGACAGTATTTTTAAAGAACAGACTTGTCACATAACACTTTAAGGAATTCAATGCCTTACTAATCTGATAAAAAGGAAAACAAGAAAGGAAGGAAGGAAGGAAAAAGAAAGGAAGGAAGGAGAGAAGGAAAGAAAGGAAGAAAATTTATTTATTGATTGATCTATTTTTTTTAGGAAGAAAATTTAGATTGATTTTTTACTTGTTGAGCATGGAACCCTTCTTCGTTGGATATGGGTATTTATTATTGTGCCAATCACGATAAATCATTAAAAAATATATTTCAAGGTAGAAAAGTTCTCATCATTGTAGATAAGGATTTGTACTCATCAATAAGTAATTTTAGAGATTCCTTTTAGCTGAAATTTGCACTGTAAGTTCCATCTTTACTGTTATTTTTTACATTTATATTAGTTTAATGAGCTATATTAATCCAAAGAAGAAATCAATCAATTGATATTTACCTCCTGTTTCTGTCCTGTTGTAGAATGAAACATTGGACACATTATCTTCACTCCATTTAACTGGAATATTCCATGTGTAACTGAAGTATTTTAAAAATAAAAATTTAACTTTTATTACTAAAAAAAATAAACATATCCAAAGTAAACATAATTAGAAAGCAATAGACAAGCATATTTTCCTTATCGGTGATCATCCAGTGTACAGAATACAATTAATATGGTCAATACAACACTCTTCAGTGATGAAGATAGGCCACATACTTGTTTTCAATTTCTATAAATCTCTAAAATTTGTAACTTTGGACTAAAAACAATAGCTGAAGATGAAGATGAAGATTATTTCAATAGCCTTGAGGGCTTTGAAACAAAGATATTGCACAAATATAACTCCTCACAGAATAATATTGAGCACTCATACACATTCTTGCACATACAGTACTCTAATAGGCTATAGTTTCTGTCAAAGAACACAAAGCATTTTTAGAACTCAGAAGACAATCTTAAAATGCTGTAAAGGAAATAACACATTTTAGAAACTACATTGAAACTGCACCAACACTATCACCTCTAAATTTCTCGTGCTCTAAAATGTCTCCTATTTAGAATCTTGTGAACTAGTGTGATACAAAGGAAATATCATCAAGCAAACACGTTTCGATTTTCTTTAGCTACTTAGTATTTTCCTGTGGTGCAGAGTGAGAAGGTTAGCTTTGTATTTTGATACAATATATATTTAACATTTTAGCCTTAAATGACATCTGCACCCCTGTGTTCATTGCAGCATTANGTGAGAAGGTTAGCTTTGTATTTTGATACAATATATATTTAACATTTTAGTCTTAAATGACATCTGCACCCCTGTGTTCATTGCAGCATTATTTACAATAGCCAAGATATGGAAGTAACACAAGTGTCCATCAACAGGTAAGTAGATTAAAAAGCTGTGTGTATATACACGATGGAATATTACTCGGTCTTAAAAAAGAATGAAATCTTATCTTTTGTGAAGCATGAATGGACCTAGAGGGTATTAGGGTATTATGCTAAGTGAAATAAGCCAGTCAAAGACAAATGCCATATCATTTTACTTACTTGTGGAATCTAAAGGACAAAATAAACACATAAAATAGAAACAGACTCGTAGATAAAAAGAACAGACTGACAGTTGTCAAGAAGGGGGAGTTTGGCCGGCTGGGTGGAAAAGGTGAAGGGACTAAGCAGTGCAAATTGGTAGTGACAGAATCGCCACAGAGATGTAGATTCCAGTACAGGTAGGGAATATAGTAAATAATACTGTAATAACTATGTATGGGGCCAGGTGAGTACTTGAAGCATCTGGGGGGCCCACTCTGTAAAGTACATGATTTTCTAACCACTTTGCTGTGCATCTGAAACTAATACAGAATAATATTCAATGTAAATTGTAATTAAAAAATAAGTAAGAACAAAACAAGAGGTCTTAAATGTCTTTTTAACTGTTCTCATATCATCTCCTATTAGTCAGAAAATACAGGAAATCTAGAGAGAAGAAGAAATTGTTTGGGTTTCAACTCAAAGTTTGATTTTTTTTTTATTCATCTGTTCAAGCCCCTGGTAGAGAATAGGGGAATGTTATCTCCCATTTTCAATATATAATAAAATTTATGTAATTTGGGGAGAGTATATTTTGCCATCTACATGAAAAAAATTATTCTGTTTCATAAGTACTGAAATGTTTTATAAGATTGAGTTTTTCCTAGCTCTTTCTCAGAGGATTTTGTTGCAGTGGAATGTTTTTGGTTATAAGTTTCATAGGACCAATACAGAAATTGTTTCTTGGGTCCTGCAACAGATTGTCAGTGCTCCACCCTTACCGCCTTGAGTCCCTGTCATTTTTGGACACCCCAGGTTCCGCTGTGCTTTCCCTGCCAAATGCCAGTGCCTGGGCCTCGCTGTCAGAGGCCTGCCTCTGGCTGCCTGAGCAAGGAAAGCCAGAAGTTCCAGGGAATTTACATTCTTGGATGCGGCCCTTAGCCAATGATGGGCGGGCATGAGATTCTTGCCTCACTGTCAGGCTCTCTCCGAAGCACTGTCTTCTGTAGGACCTGACTGATATTGTACCTTTTTCTTCTTGATTTCCCACTTCCCAGTCTCCTACCCCTCTTTCCTAGAAACACTTCCTAATGAGTGGCCTTCAGGAGAATGGTCACCTCAGGGTCTGCTTTTAGGGAAGCCAACTGAAGAGTGATCCCTTGTGGCTTCTCAACAGAGAGACAAAGAAGCATTTTTAAAAATCACATCCTACCTACACATTTTGCTCTTTTACTGCTCTGCTGATTTGGTGCTGTGTATAAGCTGCTAGCATTTCAATCCTCTTTGCCTTTCTCTGATGCCAGCCTGACTGAAACAACAGAGTGCAGTGTCTGGATGTCCCATGCTCATGCTCAGGATTTCACATTTCAACTGTTCCTTCTAAAACACGATGTCTGGGACTTGCTGTGCCTAAAAGTGGGCATAACTTATGCTACTAAGGTCATGTTTAAAAATATTGTTCNGATGCCAGCCTGACTGAAACAACAGAGTGCAGTGTCTGGATGTCCCATGCGCATGCTCAGGATTTCACATTTCAACTGTTCCTTCTAAAAGACGATGTCTGGGACTTGCTGTGCCTAAAAGTGGGCATAAGTTATGCTACTAAGGTCATGTTTAAAAATATTGTTCTGCCCGGCCGGGCGTGGCTCAGAGGTTGAGCATCGACCTAAGATCCAGGCAGTCAGGGTTCGATTCCCGGTCAGGGCACATGCCCAGTTGAGGGCTCGATCAATGATTCTCATCATTGATGTTTCTGTCTCTCTCTCTCCCACTCCTTTCCTCTCTCTGTAATCAATAAAGATATATTAAAAAATAATAATAAAATAAAATAAAATAAATAAAAATATTGTTCTGAGGTCTGTCTGTAAGAATATCATTAAGACAAAATGAGAGAGGAATGAGGCTATATAATTGTATCGTTTTAGAATCACAGGATCTAATCTAATTAAAGCTGAGTAAAATAATAGCCTAAAGGGTACAAAATGTCAAGCGATGGAAATTACAAAAATGAAATAATAGAGTCTCCTAAATGTTATCTAGAACTCAGGAGTATCAGATTTCATTTTTTAAAGTATAATTCACTTGTCTTTATATCTAACAATATAACAGGCTCTGGCGGTATTAAATATGGCCAATTTAATTTTCACTGAGGAAACTGACTTTGATTGACCTAAGATAACACCTACTCCTCTCCTTCCACCTTGAGTGGACTGTCACAGACATGAGCTTGCCCGACAGAGAATTCCCCCGATGGAGAGGTGAAACTGGCCCATTTCTAAGAGCTGGTGGAGGCCACAGTGCTAAAACCATAACTTACACGTGTGGGCCATTTGGGTTGTAAAAAGTTTCTGGTCAGTAAGAATTCCCTAATCTCGGAATATTTAGGCAATGAGAAGAGGGAGGATGCCATTCAGTTTATAGTACAACTTAACCAACCACATTGTCTACCAGGCAGGAATATATCTGAACAGAGAGCAGTGGACACTAGGGTTGGAGAAAGAATTCATTACTTTCTGGGCACAAAAGAATATATATTCAATCTAAGTTTTCAATCAAATGAAAAGTAAGGAAGAATGACTTTTGATATGTCTCTTGTCTCACTTATTTGCTCAGGAGCTATTACTGATTTTTAACAAATGTTCTCAACAGGGAAGCATCTGTTTTCTAGGTTTATTTTTCTATGCATATATAACTTTGTGGTTGTTTTTTTTTAAAAGAACAAGTGGATTGACTTTGCGATAAATGATCACTAAAAATCATGCAACTATTAATCTAAATAAAACAAAAACAGTCTCTGAAGGTAGAAACTAAAGAAAGTATTAGAGAGGAGTATAAATGTTACTATAGTTTCATGTTCTAAATCTTGGTGAACGCAATTTAAAGATTTATTATGACTTAAAAAGTAATTTTAGACCCGATGATATATTTAGTTCACTTGGAAATAATTTTTCTTGCTTGTGTGGAAAAGCAAGAGCATAACCAAAGAGCAATTTTTAAAACATCCAATTCTTCTGGTTCAAAAATAGTGTTAACATGTCTTTGGCTCAAGGAATCAGTGAGCATATATGACAGAAGGGAGCAATTACTGTGATCTCTCCCATTGGAAGTTTGTTTCTCAAGAGAGAAATTATTTTTTTCATTTTAATATCCAAAGGCTATTAAATAGAAGTTTTAAATACAGCCAATCTAATTTGCTAGAACATAAAACAGTAACTATAAAATAAACAGTTTATAGTTAACAGGACAATCACAGACTTCAGGGTGTTGATTTTTGTCATTATATTACCACCTGATAACAAGTGACCTCTGTGTTTCAACTCAGTCATATATTAAGAAGGAGAAAGAATGAAAAAAAGTTTTTGTCATCATAATTTTTGTTTTCCAAAGTAAACAAAGTATAAAGAAGTATGTACAGACACTCCCTGACTGATCTCACTTGGTCTAGGAACTAGATTTCCCTTTGTTTTGGTGAGAACTATTAATTTTCAGAGCTTGGATTACACTAAGATATCCAGTCTCTCTGAATTTCCTTTACTCTGGGAGAGCTGACTGTCTGAGATTTCAGGAGGAGAGGCTGGAACAGGCCTCCACAGGTGAGCATCCCTGGCTTCCTGGGTGTTTCTCCAGTTCAGGTACCAATGAGGACCTTGGAAGTAGCTGATTTAATAATTCTCAGTGCTCCTCGTTCTCTGAGGCCTTGGACACGAAGCACGTGGGCAATCCGAACTTTTGTAAACACTCGAGAGTGCTGTTAGTGCGACATCATCCCCAAAGCCCTGACTTGGAAGCCAGAACCCAGGCTCTGCTCCTTTCTGCATGGACCACACACATATCAAAGCTGGTCTACAAACATTTTTCACGTCTCTAGAAATACGGCCATGAACACTACTGAACAATATTCTAAGAGGAGATTGCTCTTTGCAGATTCCTCCAACTCAATTCCCTGAGCATAGCCTATCCTTTAATTAGGAATCTTAGCTCAGCTGTCTTTGGAACATGGGCCTCACCCCTCCGGCATGGCCACTCCCCCAGGGCGCCGATCATTCCATTGCCTCTCCGATCTCTCCCCAGTATTGTCCTAACCCATCTCCCTGTCCCACTCTTGCCCCTGTGATTTGTCCTCCACAGTGCAGCCAGAGGGGAACTTGGAAAAATGTAAATGATCCGCCAATTCTCTCCTTAAAGTCCTCGAATGTGCACACAATCTTGAACATGGCCTGCACGCCAGGCGCCTGCCTTCCTCTCCAGCCTCATCCCTCGCCCTTTCCCAGTGCCTCTCTGCCGCCCAGTTTCTCGGAGCCAGACTGCCTACCTGCGTTCAAATCTACCTCCATCACCTATATGCTGTGTAACCTCGCACAGATTATCATCCTCTGCCTCCATTTCCCCATCTGATATAATAATACACCATGAAATATTTAAAACATTGCCAGCTACATAGAAAATGCTCAATGAGTGTTGCATATTATATGTATAATGCTCCTTTTAACTCTGGAGCCCTCATATATGTAGTAGTTTCTGTTTTGAATATCCCCGATGGTCAACCCCCCACACCAATTTACTCAGCTTAAATATGACTCCCTCAAGAACGCAAGTCCTCTGTAGCCCTCCCTACCCAGCACACGGCCAGGGCCCCCGGCTAACTCAGGCTCAGCCTATCAGTGGATACATACGACAGGAGAGAATGATTGCTGTGAAGCTTTCAAATGGAAGCTTGTTTCTCAAGAGAGAGATACTTTTAAATTTTAATATTTAAAGGCTCCAGCAGTATTAAATTTGGCCAACTAATTTGTTAGAACATAAAACAGTAACTCTAAAGAAAGGAGATTATAGTTATTAAATGACACACTTTCTGAGACACCTTCACATCCTATAATTCTCCTGCATGTTATCCTAATTGCTACTGAATAATTGATCTGTGGTGGTTTATATATGTGACTATAAGGCCGGTGAGACTATTGAAAAAGAGATGGCGAGGGTAGAAGTCTTTTCAGTGAAATTCGGGCAGTGGAGATTAGAGGCTGCCTGAGTGGGGTGGGTGCAAAATCCCTCTACCCAAATTGTGTTAAGAAGTTGAAAGGAGAAACAATGAGAATCAGCATGGGTGAAACCGGAGCAATGTCCATGGGGACCAGTGCCACACTGTGCTGCTCCCAGGTACCCAGGAGCAGTCTAGGAAAGGCCCAGCTGGGTAATGGGGGTCTGGAGTGATAACCCCAAAGGGGCACACCCAGGGGCTGGAGGTCCTGAAATCCTGATTTTGTTCCCTTATACTCCAGAAGCATATATAAAAATAGCCATTCAGTTATTCAGAAATGGATATAGTACTAAGACTTTTGTACAAGTAGTATTTACACGAGTGATAACTTGTGAACCCATCGGCTGTGTTGACCATATTTTGTCAGCTTTTACATATTTGAATGTTTTTTAAGATCTGGAAAATTAGAGAAAATTACATATTTGATTTGTAATTTGAACTGAAATTCTTAGAATACTTTATTCTTTAATTCATAGTTGTATTTGTCTAGAAAGGTATGTAGTTCAAGGTTTGATTCTCAGTATGTTGAAAAGGCCCAAGAAATTTGATATACTATATTTATAAATTTTAACTTGTTAAATTCATAAAAATGTATAGGAAGGTGTTCTGGTTTTTTTTTAAATTAGATTTATAAACCTGTGACTTTAGGTGTTTGTATTTTGAAATTATAAATGGAATTTAGCAAAATTTTAAGTAGTAATGTTCAAAAGTTTCTTATAAATGATATATGCAAGAGAATTTGATTGAGTTTGCAATTGCTGTTTAAATGCTCAGGACAATTTTATTTGTGCAATTAGTAAGTAAAAACATCCTTAATCAAAAACTAGAAAGAGTGCTGTTGAAAAGCCATAGTGCCTTTCTCCACCCTTCCTTCCTACAGGCCAGCACCTCTCAGAGGCATCCTCTGTTAAATGCTCCTGGGTTTAATTATTCTGATTTCTAGCTCTAAAACTCTTAATACTTCTACTTTTTTTTTTTTTTTAAAAAAGTATTTTCATTGATTTTTAGAGAGAGAGGAAGGGAGAAGGAGAAAAACATCACTGTGAGATGGGAATATCCATTGGCTGCCTCCTGCACGCCCCTCACCGGGGATCAGGCCACAGCCCCAGCATGTGCCCTGACCAGAAATCAAACCAGCAACCTTTTGGTGCATGGGACGACTCCCAACTGAATCACACCAGCCAGGGCTCAATACCTCTATTTTTTAAGGTAGTACTTATTAACACCCACGAGAGAGAATGATTTAGTTACTTATATTTACTTTCTTTTCCATTCCCTTTAACAGTCAAAATTTAATAAAGTAAAATTATTATTATTAGATGTTTTGTAGGTTGCAATTGTTCCTTTAAATAATATACTCATTTTGATATTTTTGTTTCATAAATTTGAGTATTGAAACTCTCTCCTAACTGTAAAAGAAGGGTATCTTGCGGAGTGCTGGTAATTAATCAGCTAAGGGGGCTGGGGAGAATATAGTATTTGTTGATGTCCATAAACTGGCATTACAACCAATTATTTCAAGCTACCAGCATGATGTTACTGAGTTAGGACTGGAGCCATCTCCAGCACAAGACTGAATTAGCAACCCAACACTTTCTTCCACCTTTCTCCCTCTTCCAGCTCTTGTGTCAACTATTTTTTTTGTATGACAATGTTGACTATTTATATTTACAATCTACTCTGCCACCGTAACAAAATTTCTCTATTTGTTATCCATTGGTTGATTATAAAAAACTTAAAGCCAATAAATACCACTTATGAAATTATACTATACACATATTGACCAAGAAGTGTTGGAATTATATTTCCATCTCTATGGTTGAATTTCACAGCCCCTGAGTCACTTAGATAAAATTTCCCCCTAGCACCCTAACATAAGGGTCAAATGGACTCCTTTTTCTCAGTGGTATCAGATCATTCTACCTGCCTCATACTTTTTAATCAGTTTTAACATATAGCCATTTATTTATTTATTTCCCTCATTACAGTTGATCAAACTGATGAGCTTTCACCAAGGCCTCAAGTTTTCCCATTCTCCCAATCACTCTGGAGATGATCCCATTCTCCCAATTTCCTGGAGATCGCCTACCTTACCCAGTCACCTGCTCTGATCACGGCACGGAACCCACTAGCTGGCTGTGAGCCTGTTTCCTCTCAGGGCTTTCTTAGGCTGGATGCACTGTGTCCTGGATCCCATCTCTTCCTCTTTTATTGATGTATTCATATTTTTTCTCTCTCTCCTCCAAACCCTTTGAGGGCAGCCCTAGTAACTTTCTAAGAAGTGCTGTGTGGAAAGCACTTTCTGGGACTGTGTGTCTGAAAATGTCTTCTCTGTGTTTTTTTGCATGTGGTTTAGTTTCACTGGGTAGAGAATGAGAGGTTGAAAATATTTTTTGCTTCACCATTTTAGATGATTGGTCTATTTTCTTCTCGCATCCAAGGTCGCTATGAAGAAGACTAATGTCACACTAACTCATGTATCCTTGTTTTCTAAAACTTTATGAAGTAGCTTTATGAAGATGTATGTGTGTACTCAATACAAAAACATGTGCACCCAGTGGGGCCTGTTCAGCAGAATCTTTGTGTCCTTTGTTGTTTCTTTGATACAATTTGCCCCTCAAGTTTCTGTTTTCGTTTTTTTGTGAGATTTCTATTAGTTTGCTGCTAGATTTTCCGTATTTGTCTTCTCTTTCTTGTTTGCCAGTTCTGTGTGAGTTTGCTTTATATTTTTAGAGAATACAAAATTTATTTCTAGTTGTCTATTAATTTACAACCAAAAATTTAATCTTCCAGAGACCTTTTGTCTTCTCAGTTTATCCTTTCAAAGACATTTTTCTCTTAATGAATGGGTATAATAGTTTCTTTGATCTCTCACTCTGTTCCATAAATTCATTTTCTGTTTCCTCAATTGTGTGTCTTATAGAGACAGGTGTTTTGTTTGGTCATGTGCAATTTTACCTTTTATGATTTTAGATTCTTTTCATATGTGTGTGTGTGGGTGTTTAATCTGTTTTTATTGATTTCAGAGAGAGAAAAGGAGAGGGAGAGAGAAATAGAAACATCAGTGACGGGAGTCATTGATCGGCTGCGTCCTGTACGCCCCCTACTGGGGACTGAGCCCCCAACCCGGGCGTGTGCCCTGACCGGGAATCGAACCGTGATCTCCTGGATCATAGTTCAACACTCACTCTGACAGGGCTTTTCGTGTGTTTTTGGGTCCTTGATTGTTCATTTATATTTAAGAAAGAACAACAAAATTCATTATTCTTGGTGTTTTGTGTGTAATCCCACTGCTGTTGAGTTGGGAGTTCTAGGGAAAGGGAAGGTCGGCTTTCGCTTCTACAGTAAGTCTCTTTCTATTGGCTGCATCTTCTTCCATTTGTATTTTGTCAATAGATCTCCTTCTGCTTTTCTTCTAGAATTCAATGGTAGATATAACCCCTTCCCTTTATTTTCTTTACTTTTATGAGTTTATTTTTTTCCCAGCACTTCTGTTTATTCAACAGTTTCAGGGAAGGACAGGACCTGGGTGCACGTCGAACCTGGAGACCACTGAGCTATTTTTAAATGCCTCTGTTTTCCTAAAGACACCATGCTTTTATCTGATCACCCATCAATCATGTCCTGAAGAGCAAGATCTAAGCAAATGGCCATTACTTCCATCAAATTTCTGCTTTTCTCTTGAAATGCATTACAGATCCTTACCCAAGGTCTGAATGTGGCAGAGAAGGATTAGCTCTTGGGTCCAACAGAAAGCGTTTCTGTTTGACGGTCCTGTCTTTCACATCAAGGACAGGATAGCCCATCTGTTTGGTCCAGGTGTCCATTACTTCTTTCACTGGTAGATTACTTGCCTAAGGTTTAAAAAACATGGAGGGTAACTAGCAAATACCGGGAAATAAAAAGAATCAGCTAAATAAGTGATTGATAAATCATTTGTTAATAAAACAAATAAATATTTGGGGATATACTTTTTCTTACCTCTTCAAGTGCTGCCCAAAAATCTGAAGTTTTTGCATTCTTAAATTTGTATTTTTCCAAGTAAATCTGTATGTGAAAGATAACAAGTACTTTAGAAGTCACCGTTTGCTTTTCTTATACTTCCACAACATGAGCCGAACCCCCAGATATATTGCACTCAAATGTATAATATAGCAAGTGTACCTGGAATGAAAGCCAAATGATACACTGTATGAAAAACATTTTTAAAACACTGTACAAATGCCCTAGCTGGGTTGGCCCAGTGGTTAGAGCATTGGCCCTCGGACTGAAGGGTCCTGGGTTCAATGCGAGCCAAGTGCACTTACTTTGGTTGCAGGTTCAGTCCCCAGCCCTGGGGGGAACTGAGCGGGAGGCAACTAATTGACATGTCTCTCTCAAATCAATGTTTCTCTCTCTCTCTCTCTCTCTCCCCCTCCCTCCTCTTTTTCTCTCTCTCTTTCCCCCATCCTCTCTCTCTGAAAAGCAATGGGAAAAGTATCTTTGGGTGATGATTTAAAAAAAAGACAAACAATGGGGGGGAAAGGGACATTTATAATACTTTCAACAATAAAGATAAATTTTAAAAAAGAGAAAGAGAGAATTTCATTTTTTCAGGACAAGTAACATAAGATACTTAAGGTGAGTCAAGTATTCAGCAAACAGTCAACAGTCCACAACATTTCTGATTCACTGTGAAGAGGAAGCCATAATTCTGTGATCTTTATTTAGTGGTGTTGACCTGTCCACTTCTGGCTGCAACCCCAACCTTCATTTATAGTGATGTTTTCTCATCTCAGACACTATGTGACCCCATCACACACACAGGTGATTGAGGTGATACACGAACAAAACAAGTGAGCTTGGCTCTAAGTCAGGCCTCTGCAAACTTCTATAAAAAGCTATATACTAAAGATTTTAAGCATTGTGGGCCACAAAATCTCCGTTTCCACTACTCAACTCTGTCTCCCGAGCAGAAAAGCAAACATATTTAAGTGAATGAGCATGGCTGTCTTCCGATAAAGCCTTATTTACACACACTGATATCTGAGTTCTACATAACTTTCATGTGTCTTGAAATAATCTTCTTTAGATTTTTTTTCAGCCATTTAAATCTTTAGAAATAATTTTGTTTGCATACCTTACAAAAATGAGTGGTAGGCCAGATTTTACTCACAGACAATAGTTTACAGGCCCCTGCTCTAAAGAAATGAATATACAGCTTTTTGAGAAATGATGATGGTTGTGGTGGTGGTAGTGGTAGATAAATTGGGGAAATTATTCACCTAAAGAACAAATATTTTTTAAATGCAAATTTTTAACTAGCTGACTTCCCCTTTTGACAATTTTATTCACAAAATCGCTCTATATATGAATTTTCAGCTATCATGTGACATATCCCTAGAGAAGTTCCCGGTCTTCTCCTAATCTCATAATTGAGCACCACCAGTGGGTCTCCAGGAAGCCTCACAAAGCTCCCACTGAATCACTCCTCTGTTACTCTCTGGAGTTGTCCCATTTAAAACATGGAGTCTTTGATAGAAACAGAAGCTTCTTAAGTATTCTTTGAGCCTTCAAAGAAAATAACTAGTGGTTGACTTTGCACATATAATTTTCACTCTCAGTTGCTATAATTTTCAGGAAGCGCTGTACCAAAGTCACATTATCTTCTGAATTCCTCTTATTTTCAAGTATAGAGATAAAAACAGCATTAGCTGGACTGCTCCACGAAGCCTGACAGGGCTGAGGCCAGTTTGGAATGTGGCCTTCAGATTTACTCTGCTGGTTAGTTCACCAGTCGGCACTGCCACCAGAGGGCAGGCAAAGGCAGGGAGAAGGAATGACAGGCACAGACTCCATGTCAATATTGGGTATTCATTCCAGAGTTTGCACAAATCATTCATTCCATCTTAATAAAATAATTGGATAGTTGGAATAGTCATAATTATAACCATAGATGCCTGTTAATGACAAATTTTAGTGAATAGTAGCTTCTTAAAATTAATTTAGAGTTTATCAGTATTTTCACAATGTCTTGAGCTTAGAAATAAGCAATCTTGAAACTAGAAGAGACCTTAAATATTATTTAGTACAGCTCCCACATTTAGGGGCTGAGGGAAGGAAACTGGTGCTTAAAGAGGTAAAGAGATTTGCCTGAGATGACCTTGATGAGAATTCTGAATCCTGGACCAGTTTGTAGGGTTTTTGTCACTATAGTTATTACTATTATTATTACTTACTTATTTGAGAGAGAGAGACATCAATTTGGTGTTCTTCTTATTTATGCACTAATTGGTTGCTTCTCATAAGGGCCCGGGCCGAGAATCTAACCTACAACCTTGGCGTATCGGGACAACTCTCTAAGCAACTGAGCTACCCAGCCAGGGCTGTTATTATTATTTTTTTAAAATTGCATTTTCTTGTTTCTACTGAGCTAGAGGCTAAATGGACATTTATATAAACATTATATTAAAGGTACTCATTTTAGACATACAGATGGCCTATAAACATATGAAAAGATGCTCAGTGTCACTAATTGTCAGAAAAATGTAAATTAAAACCACAGTGAGATATCAGCTCACACTTATCAGAATGGCCCCCATCAATAAATCAACCAACAGCCCAGCCGGGCGTGGCTCAGCAGTTGAGCATCGACCTAGGATCCAGGCGATCGGGGTTCGATTCCCTGTCAGGGCACAAGCCCAGTTTCAGGCTTGATCAATGACTCATCATTGATGTTTCTATCTCTCTCTCTCCCCTCCTTTCCTCTCTCTGAAATCAATAAAGATAATATTACTTGGCCATAAAAAGTGAGCTCTTACCATTTGCAACAAACAGAATGGATGACCTAGAGGATATTATGCTAAGTGAAATAAGTCAGTCAGAGAAAGACAAATACCATATGATTTCACTTATATGTGGAATCTAAAGAACAACAACAAAATGACTAAATAAAATTGAAACAGGCTCATAGACACCGAGAACAGACTGACAGTTGTGAGAGGGGAGGGAGTTTGGGGGATTGGGTGAAAAAGCTGAAGGATTAAGAACTACAAATTGTTAGTCACAAAATAGTCCCAGGGATGTAAAGTACAGCACAGAGAATGCAGTGGGTAATACTGTAATAACTGTGTAGGGTGCCAGGTGGGTACTGGAAATATCAGGGGAACACTTTGTAAAGTATATGATTATCTAACCACTGTGCTCTACACCTGAAACTAATGCAAAATAATGGTAAATGTAAAAAAAGGTACTCATTTGATTTTGTCTAGATTTGTACTTCTGAATGTTCTATATTAAGAAATTTCCTTCTTCACCTTGAAAAATCACAATTCCAGTCAAAATTCCACGATGACCTAGGTCAACCAATAATAGTCTCTCATTAGGTGATATCAGTGAGCACGAAAGGAAGGCGACAATGTTTCCATTACTAGTACCACAGGAAGGGAAAGAACACTTTCCAGCTGAGCCATCCGCCTCTTATCAGGGGTACTGCTGTAACCAGGAGGAAAAGGAAGGATGGATACGCTTCTCAGCCCTTATTTCATGACCATATTCTAGGAATGTCCCATTACCTATTAGGTGTTTTTGTTTTATGTACGAGCACAGCCTTAAAGATTTTCCAGTTACTTCCCCCCTCATTCTGTATGTGCTTTGCTGTCTAACCTGGGCTTGGGGAAAGGTGATGAGCATGAATGAATACAGCTGGCCATCCCCAGGTTTAGTGCCACAACTGGTTAGCTAAAGAGTCACTTTGGGCATAAAGTTAGTATTTGCAAGGGAAAGATCTTGAACTATACCACAGATTGTGATAACTCAACGAGGGATTCTGTTTGGATACTTGAACTATGTGAAGGAAATGTTCCAGTTGGTTTGAGAGCTTATTGAGGCTTATCGAGTGTGGCTTATATTGTTGATATACCAATTTCAAATACTAGCTAGTGTCTGAAAATGAAGGGAAAAGAGTTCATGGTCTGCATTTTTTGGGGTAAATTCACTATAATAGTAAGAAAAATTATCTATTTTTTCTAGTTCAGCTTCTAGCACCATCTATAGTCATAGTTAGGGTTAAGGAAGGCAGTTTTAACTTGAAAAATATTAGTTTTAGGCAGGACTGGGTTTTTAATTCATTATACCCCAGACACTGGGTTAAAGAATATGCAACAGCATTACTGAATTATTAGAATAGCTACTTACTTTTAAAGACTCTTTTGGTATTTATCTAAAACAATTAAATATGGAAAAGCATTTAATTTAAAGTCAGCTTTGAAGAGTCCAAGAATGTGTTATTCATGAATTTAATTTAGAATGAAAACCATGCAAATGGAATTATAACTTAATTTTTAAATAGGAATTGGCTGTTTATTTCTAGACTCTATATTAGTTATTATAGACCACTCATTCATTCAAGGAACATTTTTGGGATCTCCTAGCGTGTGATGCATTCTGTAGGCACTGGAGTGGATGCCAGGATCCGGATGACAGCGTTCCCCATGAGGGGTGCCTTCAGCGGGAGAAGATACGATGAAACTTGAAGTTGAAGCTCACAGAAAACTTACAAGATGTTCTAATGCGCATCTAAGAACAAACACTCAGCTTCTCCCTTTCCACCTGATGTCCACACAGACACTATCGATGCACAAAAGGAGGGAACGGTACTGATGCGCTCCCTGAATATTTCTTAATTCTTGGTCTTCTTACTTTAACAGTGGCCGGGCATTTTCGTATTGGGTCGAAGGGGGCCATTTCCTCTTGGGGCAGTGTAGGAAGCACTGACGCCCCAGAAGCGGTGGTGGTGAGAGTCAGAGGTCTGCGGGACAGGCCCGGCCCTGGGAAGCCACTGCACGCATGCTCCGCGGGAAGTGACAGGGCCACTGCTCTGACCTGCGCCCCACGTTACGGGCTGGACACCATCTGCCTAACTGCCGAGGACACCAGGGGAGACGGAGGTGGGAGGCAGACACCAGCAAGGCGGGTCCATGTCCAGGCCGCTGCGGGGCCCACTGCGGACAGGGTGAGGGCCACATTGTCGCTACTTGGTACTATAAGACCCTGAGACAACTGGCTTAGAGTCTGCTAGAAGGACAGAGTGAAACCGAAACATGTGATGGGAGAAATAAGCTTGAGTGGGATATGTGAACTGCTTCAGAAAGTCTATTGTCATTTCCATTTCCAAAGGAAGCAGGCCCTTTGTATCCACCGACTCCACCCTACTAGGAACGTTTACCTTAACCATTTTCAAATCCAGTCATAAGGAAAAAGCCTTTCTAAAACCCGTAAGAGAAGACTTTAATAGATAGGTTTATATTTTTAGGTCACGTTGCTACAGACTAACTTGTCTTCCCCAGAAATTCACACTTTGAAGTCCTAATCCTCAATGCCAGTGTAACGGTAACTGGAGGTGAGGCCTTTGGGAGGGGTATTTAGGTTGAGATGGGTCAGTGTCCTCATAGGAGACACAAGCTATCTCTCTCTCTCTGCCATGTGAGGACACAGCGAGAAGGTGGCCATCTGCAAGCCAGGAAGACAGCCCGGGCCCAAATGTGAATATACGGCACTTTCATCTTCGCCCCCTGAGCCTCCAGAACTGCGAGAAAATAAGAGTCTATTGTTCAGGCCACTCAGTCTGTGGCATTTTGCAGACCCACCTGCAAGAAAAGGAGATACAAAAAACCCAAAACAGACGAAGTCATTTGTTTAAAATACCCCATGAAACTTTTGCCACAGGGTAATTGCTGACACAGTGTAGGCACTTAAGTGGATGTGAAATCACTTTTTAATGTTTTGCTTTGTTATCTACCCCTGAGTAAGGAAAGTAAAAGTTAAAAGGGAATTGCCCTGAATTAATCACATTATCTTAACATTCATCAGCCACATATCGGTGTAGTTTACTTTTAATATCGTTAAAAATAAAAAATCATACCTGACATCCTCTTTGAAATTTCTGTGGTGTTATCCAGTCTTCAATCATCCTCAGAATGGAAGCTCCCTGTGATGGAAAAGAATGAGAAATTAAACTAATAAAAGACACATAAGGGACAAATATCAGTAATTACTGTGGTGACTAGTATTTGATGATTATATTTGTGAGACTTCTTGAAGAGGATTCTGCTAAATTACATGGTTATAGCTTTGTGACTTTAGGGAAACAATGCCCCTTGGCCCGCCCCCTGCACCTGTGCATCTGAAATAACTTACAGGTCAAGAGAAATCGAAATGGACAAAATACCCAGCATTTCAGAGACTTGAGGTGCAAGCAATTATTGCAGTTCACACAATGAACCAGCAGAGGGGGCCTTTTTAATGAAAGGGAAGGAGAGAACGTTTCAGAAATGCTGTGTTCTTTCATGAAAAAGAGAAGCGGTTTCAGGATGCAATTTTGTCTACTTTCAATACTTGAAAAAGAATTATATTTAACAGAGGGAAATAGATATTTGAGAAACTACCTTGTCAAATAGTATAATATAGATGACAAATTGATTAATTGATAGATGATAGATAGATAGATGATAGATAGATAGATAGATAGATAGATAGATAGATAGATAGATAAATAGATAGATGATAGATAGATGATATAGATAGATAATTTAGGCATAAAATCCTTCCCTTCAAAAGTGTCTTATCTCATGGGGTTTTCTTTAGTCTGAAGAATCTGATGAATCCCCCTGCTCTCTACATTCTTTTCACATGGTATAATATTAGCACTAAAATTTCCTATTAACAGAATTTTAAATCAATGTTCAAGTAACTAACCAGAAAAACATTTAAGCTAGTATTTTTTTACTATAATTTATTGAGCACTATAAATTATTTTTGTACATAGAAGAATTAGAAACATCTATTTATTTCTGACCTAATATCATAAACCCATGGAGTACCCAGGACTCAGGAAAAAAACTGACTAATTAATATAAGCTTCCTCTTGTGAGTTACTGGAATATACTCTAGACTGGAAACTTTCATTTTAACAGAAAGATGAAAAAGAATCACTGACAATGTGAAAGAAAAATAAATAAAGAGAGCCTGAAAATGCCATAGGAATAGGTGAGAGAAAAAGACAAAACAGATGATGCTGTATATTTCAAATACTAGTATATAGAAGGCTTTTCTTTTACTCCAGTCAACTTTATCTAACATGCACTTTAATAATTATAATATTTTTTCTTATATAAAACTTTAGGTATCACTCGGAATAACAAAATGTATTACTTTTCAGTGGCTTTTGAGCAACTTAACATAGTGTGTAAACTCTAAGAAGCTGAGGTGGAAAAATCACAAAATTATGCTGCATTCAGGTCTGGACCTGTTTAGAGAGGAAGCTGTAGGACGTGTTGTGGAAGAAAATGGGCAACAGAAACCTCTGGGTCACTACAGATTTTTCAGCCACTTTTCATAGAATTATAATGGATAAAACTGCCCCGTTTACAACATGTTAACAAAGTCATCATTAAATCTTATCTAAAACCAGGTAAGAGTCATTCCTGCAAACTGAGATGGATTTAAATACTTATTATAAGCACTAAAGGATTCTAGTAGAAAAGGTGTCCACATTTATGGCATTTCTTGTTGACCACGTGGGGAGAAAAAGATCTACTGCCTTTAAAAAAAATCAAATAAAACAATTTAAAACTTGAGGCTTAAAGTGTAAATGTTCAATTATCAGAATGAGAGCTGTAATAAACAAAAGTAGAAAGAGAAATTTGAAAAAATCTGCTTCAAAATCCTGAGACAGTGATCAGCATTGATCGGTTTCACTGAAGAGTAGCTATTGAATACTTGGCACTCAGGGTAAGTCCTACAGTGTTTCCAAAGCCCATTCACATAATCTAACCCTCTCACTGTCATTTTGGGGCATTTACTGAAACAAAAGTCACTAAGCAGGAAGATATGAAAAACTATGCCATATTTTCCCCACCTTGCTGTAGGATATTCCATCAAAGGCAGATGTTATTTCATCAGGATTGGTCACGGTGACAACAATTGGGTGTGAAGACATCAAAGAATCATCCTCTTGTACAGGAAGCACATCTTCAAGCAACATCTGGTCCCGCTAAAATGACAGAAAGAACCAAAGAAATGAAGTGCTTCCTTTACACTGTTCATATTTCAGCATCATGTATATAACACACAGTGGGGGAAATAAACATGAATGACTTCAATTATTTAAAACAAACATTAGGTGTTCAAATTAATCCTATTTTACACTAGTTGGTCTACACTGATTCTATTATCTACTCCTGTTTTTAACTCCTTTGACTTGCCTCTATATTTCAGGCCAAGAAGACACAAGCATCTGTGAATTCTGTTTCTGGCTTTCGGACACGTGCCGAACTTTTCAAGCCCTGTTTCCATATCTGTGCAGTGGGAATATCACCTCACAGATTTGCTCTGAAAATTAAGTGAGGAAACACACTGACTTACCAAAAATTGATGTTTGGGTTTTAAAAAGAAAATTCGTCAACTAATCATTGGAATTTGGATGATATATAATTAATTGAAGAAAACATTAACTTTTGCTTTAGTTCTAATTAACAATCACCTTCTCATTCCAGTCCTGTTTTCTCACCAAAATAGAGTTGTTGAGTGGTCTAGAGCTGTAGTCAGAATTCCTCAGTTCAAAGCTCAGTTTTCCCATTTTCTCAACATGTAAGTTTAAATAAATTCCCTTACCTGTTAGATAGGGTAATGATGGCATTTAGTTTTTAGAACTGTGCAGCTGATTCAATGAGCTAATGCAGTTGGCACAGTACCTGGCATAGAAGGAAAACTTAACACAGCTGCTATTGTTATTTTGATCCTTTATCAATTAGATTCTAAAATCCAACTTTTTAAAATCACTACTAATAAAAAAAAAAAATCAAAAGTTTTTTTGGGCTTACTGACTTAAAAATATTAGTTTACATTTTCTGATTTTGTGATTTCCTTTTATAATAGGCAAGATACTATTGTCAATCAAGGTAAACTGTGAGGAATTAAGAGAATAAACTTTTCAAATGAGGACTTAGAAGTACAGAGCTTCCAAGTGCACAGAAATATATTTCTGCCTGAGGTTACAGAATATTAGAGTGATGACTGTCAAGTGAGGACTGTCAATCAAGGTAATTATGACTTGGACTTTTTTTCTGTCCCTGTAAAACATTTAGGTAAGTAGACAGAATCCTGTTCTCAGTGTCAGAAAATTTGACTCTGGTCTTAGTTGTGCTACCAATTGTCTGTGTGACAATGGAAAGTTATATTCCCTTCCTGAGCATCGCATTTTCACCTGTAAAATGAGGCTCCACTATTGTGGTACTTACCAACCTCTCTTATGGTGCATCTTTATCTGTCCTCTCCACCCACAAGACACTAATTTGGGAACTCCTTAAGGGCAGAAATTTTTTATTCAGCTTTGGGTTCTTTATAGTGTTTACTGAATGAGGAATGGATGAAGAATGAATGAGTTGAATCATGTGATTAAATTTCATTTAAGAGCTGTTTACTAAATTCTTCTGGAATTTAATTGGTGTTTTTGAAACACTAAAATTGGAATGTTAAAATGTTATGGATTATATATAACAGCATTAAAATGTTATAATTTCTTATAATATCTTGCTACAAGAAGGACATTAGGTTACTTTAAAGAAAATAAAAAACAATTGTTTTTCATTTAATAGCTTAATTTCAATAAATTATGAAATCAGCAATTTTCAGTATAGATGAGTAGTTCTCAATCAAAGGATTACATTTTTGTCCTCCAAGAGGCATCTAGAAATATGGGAAGGCATTTTTGGTTTTACAACTGGAATGGGAAGATTACTGGCATCTAGTAGATATAGTAGGTAAAGGCCCAAGATGCTGCTAAATATTCTACAAGACACAGGACAACAGCCCACAATAAAGAATTATCTGGCCTAAAATGGCAATAGTTTCATGGTTTAAAATGCTTGTGTAAATTATATTTATAAAGAAACAGCTATTACAAATTAACATTCACTTTTTAAAGTACTAAGTTGTGGAAGCTGTAAGGGCTTCAAGCATTTAACATTGTCTTTTTATTCTGTCCAGCAGAGGGCAGTAGTCTATACAGAACACAGCTGTAATTTCTCTCCCTGCACACATCTACAAGCTTATTCTCTCATATATACAGATAAGAATGCTTTCACTATCTAAATATAAATACAAACAGATCTAGCTTTTTGGAAAGAAGTATCTGTAGAGTTCATAGAAGCTTCTATTCCAGTCCCCTCAGGGACACACAGTATAATAATAGTAATTACATTTACAGTTTGGGAGCTTTTAAACTGAACTGACTCAGAAAGGATATGTAACTTGCTCAAGGTCACATTCCCTGTAAAGCATCTAAGAAATGATGCATCTAGGATTTGAACCTGAATTGAACTAAGTTTATGCTTTTCTCTCTTTGTCACACTATTTCAGTGACCTGTGAAAAGTCAGTCATTTGCAAAATTAGGCTTAGACATTTTTCAAAGGGTTAGCACTACAGATACTTCCTTGAACACAGGGTTGGCATTGTCTAAGCTAGCTATTTTTTCCCCACCTTGACACATGTTTTTGAGTGACTCTGTCAAGGATATACTCAGACCCTGGTGGTCAGCTGCCTTCCAGGGCCTGGCCATAGGCTCTGAGCGAGGTACAGTTGAGTATAACCATCTGGCTCCACCCCAATCTCACAGTGGAATTCCCAATTCACCACTTCCTTGGCTTAGGACTCAGGGTCATAGTCCACACGCTTCCATCTGCTTTTGCATTAGAAAACTAAGATTTGGAGTTTATGTGTTTAGCACTCACCATTTGCCAATTTTTTTCTGCATGGTTTACTCCCAGGAACTCAAAGAAGGAAGCGAAGCCTTCATTTAGCCACAAGTCTTCCCACCAGTCCATGGTCACAGTGTTTCCAAACCACTGAAATGATAAGCAACAAAGTAATAGTTAAATTCTTGTGCCTTTGGTAGAGGCCTAGAAAATTTCAATACATTTATTTGCTCATGTAAATTTTGTCACTTGAGACAGAAGTGGTAGGCTTTCTTAGCACTTATCTCCTGGTTTTAAAAAGATCTTAAGCCCGACCAGGCGTGGCTCAGCAATTGAGCATCAGCCTAGGATTCAGGCGATCGGGGTTCGATTCCCGGTCAGGGCACATGCCCGGGTTGCAGGCTGGATCAATGACTCTCTCATCATTGATGTTTCTATCTCTCTCTCTCCCTCTTCTTTCCTCTCTCTGAAATCAATAAAGATATATTAAAAAATAAATAAATAAATAAATAAAAACATCTTAAATTTTCCTGTTTCTTGCCATTATTTAGGTATTACTAGGAATATTCAAAGTTGTAGGTAGGCTTCTTATATGTTCACTAAAGGCAAAACAATGTGTCTTAAAAGTATCTCTATGGTAAAATATTTATTAGAGCTAAGAAAGACTTTCAAGCAGGATTTTCTGAGTTGGCTATTTTTAATTCGCTAAGCTATAATCTATTTCAATTATTACTGTGGTCTAAACCATGTCTTAAAATTTGATGCTAAGAATCTATACCTGATGCACAAGTTCGTGGGCAACCACTGTGGCCACCCTCTGCTGGTTTGATGAGGCTGATTCCTGGGGGTCATAGAGCAGGTTTGTTTCTCTGTACGTGATGAGCCCCCAGTTCTCCATAGCTCCGGTGCCAAAGTCTGGAATAGCGATCTTATCTATGGAAAAAGAAAGAGTCCAGCGAGAAGTACATTCTTTCCATTTGTTCATAACATTTCTTAATAACCTATGTTCTCTGGATGAATGTATTTTTAAAAATCTAAAAATAACTTTTCAGTCTTCATGCACTCAAAATTTCCAGGCTCTTTTCCTGTTGGCTTCAGATATCAATGTGTCTTGTTTCTTAATGGCAGTTTTATTAATTACACATTTTTACTAATGGCTATGCTCTTTTCAAGCCCTCTGTAATTGTTCCTCTTTGTGCTTTCATTTTTATTAGCTCAAAATCATTTTCACTTAGATAATACAGAGTATCTGTTTGGTGGATAAGCTGTGAAAAATTAAGATAATAAAGTTTTCAAATGAGGACTTAGAAGAGCTTCCAAGTGCACAAAAATATATTTTTATCTAAGGTAACAGATTAGAAAATATAAATTCTACTTTTTCCCTAACTCTGTACAATTTGAAATCAACCTGATTCCTTACAAATCAAGTAATTTACCAACCACTTGTATGAATTAAGTTAGCTGGACCAAGATGGAATTGAACATATTCTCTCTAAATTCCCTTCCAGGTCTAAAATGTTGAATTCTATCATAACTTCCTATTCCTTATTTTTGTGGGGCCTATAATCTTAGACATATTATCTGACAGGAAGAGGCAGTGTTGATTAGTTCTATGTTAAGTCCAAAAACAGAAAATATTCTGCTTGATTACTGGACAGAATTCTCCAGTTAATAAACTATAATAAGAATATAATTTATTTATCATTACACAGAATTTACATGAGGCACATAAATAAAAATAAATTAAAATTTCATCTAATATATAAGAAAGGCCTTTTCTGGTTGAAATAAAGATTCTTAAAGCATTTTATAGAGGAATCAAAATGGATATATCACATATGAAGGTCAAGATTATAGCTGTAGTTTCCTTTTCATGTTATCTTCATTCTTAGGTTTGGTTATTCTTTTCATAAGAATACCACTTAAAAGCTAGAGGAGGCCCAGCTGGGCGTGGCTCAGGGGTTGAGCATCGACCTAGGATCCAGGAGATCACAGCTCGATTCCCGGTCAGGGCACATGCCTGGGGTTGAGGGCTCAATCCCCAGCCGGGCATGCGGGAGGCAGCCGATCAATGACTTTCTCATTATTGGTTTCTCTCTCTCTCTCTCTCTCTCTCTCTGTCTCTCTCTTTTCCTCTCTGTGAAATCAATAAAGACATATTAAAAAAAAAAAGTAGAGAAGTATTTCCCACAAGGGCCAATATTTTCCATGGTATTATGGAGTATAATCTAATTTGGGGAGTATAATAAATGCAGAAGTCATCTCTAAGGAAAGTCTAAGATAGAGAATATTGAAAGGATTGAAATGCAGGTAGAAATATGAAGGCAGGGAAGGAGGAAGAGAAGTTGTAGTAGTTAGTAGTAGTAGAAGTTGTAGCAGTTATTATTGTAGTAGTTATAGTAGTAATAATAGTTGCAGTAGTAGCAGTACTTGCAGCAATTGTTGGAGTAGAAGTAGTGGTGGTGGTGGTGGTGGTGGTGGAGAGGAAGGGACAAAGCAAGGAGAAGAGAGAAATAAATTGGTGCGATTTCCACCTCCAAGGTTTTCTTGGGTGGTACAAGTGAGATAAAGAGACTTTAAATTGATGTGCTGAACATTTTATTAAACATTATTCTGATTTTGATGGAAAGTTGTTTCTTTTCCTGTCTCCTCTATTGATAGTAGTTGCTGAGCAATCAAAAAAGAAATTGGATCCACTGCCATTGAAGAGAAAATCAGGCATCTACGAGCTTGCTTAGAGCCACAGCCATTCCCATGTAGAGAATCTGGCATCCCAGGCGCTTGGCATCGAGAATTATACCAAAATAAGGGCAGAAACAGTAAGAGAGAAGCCAAGTGTTGGTTGCTTTGTTTCCTTGTCACCTTTATTTCATCCCTACAGACATCAATGTGGGTGTTCCATTTAAAGTCTTTGCTAATACCATTCAAGCTTACTAATAAAGAATTTCTGCTATTAATGGAAGTATCATATCAATATCATTTTTTTAAATATATCTTTATTGATTTCAGAGAGAGGAAAGGAGAGGGAGAGAAACAGACAGAAACATCAATGATGAGAGAGTCATTGATCAAGCCCACAACCGGGCATGTGCCCTGACCGGGAATCGAACCCTGATTGCCTCGATTCCAGGTCGACGCTCAACTGCTGAGCCACGCCCGGCCGGGCACCATTGTTTCATTTTAAGTGCTGGAGAATCTAGAACTAGTCTTGTACAACAATAGAAAGACTGGAGGCACATGGGGCTTCGGCAGCCTCATTTATTCCTCTTATTTCCCAACTCACTGATGGTAGGGAGGCAAGTAAGCTGTTAGGATGGGTACTAATTTTGAAATTAACTGACCTAGATTGCTATTTCTGGCTCCATCATTATGAACATCTGCAGTTTTGTGCAATACCATACTTTAATTTTTATTTGGAGATAAAAGACTATATATTTATCAGGTAAGAAGAGAGTATCAACATTATTCTTGGAGGAACCCAAAACGGATTCTTTCCACACCTCCTAAGTATTAGGCACATACTGTAGGCATAAACGCAAAAGACAAGGGTGAGTATTAACTAAGGACGATAGAACTGGAGGAAGGGAGTTAACTTAGGCAAAAATAAAAGCAATATTAAAAATAAGAAAATAAAAAATGATTCTCACCTAATTTAGGAAGCGCGTACTCCATAGCGAAGTATTCTTCATAATAATCAAACACACTTTGAGTTATGTTGGCAGCATATTCACCTGTGTGCTTTTGCTCTGGCTGGACATACACAGTAAGCTGTTAAACAAAACACAAACATTCCGTGAAATGACTCTTCATTTGGTAAAGCACACGAAGTAGTGGAAAGAAGGTGGGCTTTAGAGCCAAATAAACCTATATGAATCTCAGTTCTGCATGGACAAATCTCTTCACGTCGCTGAGGCTCATGTGGAAAGTGAAAAAATACTGCATAGTTCACTGAGTGATTTCAATGGCTAGAAATAATTTAAGGCAATGGTTGGCATACTGTTCAATACATTTTTTAAATGTTATTGCTTTTTTCCATTTAGAACATATATTGCCATTTTAATGTCTATGTATCTATGTATCTACCCATCTATCCATTTTCCTATCTACCTACCATCTATCTATAATCTATCAATCGATCTATCATCTATCTATCATCTCTGTGTAATTTGTCTTTGAGGAAATCAATCATGTGATCTTTCTCATCTAAAGAGCCCTTGGAGCTCGATCCCCAGTTGGGGGCGTGCAGGAGGCAGCCAATCAATGACTCTCTCATCATTGATGTTTCTCTCTCCCTCTTCCTTCCTCTCTCTGAAATCAATAAAGATATATTTAAAAAATAAAAAAATAATAAATAATAAAGAGCTCTTGGATACATGTTTACCATAGGCTCTTTAGATGAGAAAAATGACATGATTGATTTGTTCTATTAAATCAATAGAATAAATTGTTCTATTCTATCCATCACTACCCAAATGACTGTTTTGATATTTTAGCTATTCTATTCCAAGAATCTAATATATGCTGATTCAAAATTTTCTTGAGAGGGAGGCACCTTGATAAGTTACATCATTCTCTAAATCTTTAAACCAAGTATAGATACCCTCAAAACCAATTCTAAGCACTTATGACCCACAAGAGCCAACACAATGTTGAAAGAGGAAAAACAAAGTTGGAGGACTGATACTATCTGATTCCAAGATTTACTATAAAGCTCCAGTAATTAAGACAGTGAGGTATTAGCAAAAGAATACACACATAGATAAATATAACACAATAGAAAGACCAGAAATAGACCAACATAAATATAATCAACTGATCTTCGACGAGACAGCAAAGGCAATACAATGGAGCAGGACAGTTTTTTTAAAAAGCAAATAGTGCTGCCCAGCCAGTGTGGCTNAAGATTTACTATAAAGCTCCAGTAATTAAGACAGTGAGGTATTAGCAAAAGAATACACACATAGATAAATATAACACAATAGAAAGACCAGAAATAGACCAACATAAATATAATCAACTGATCTTCGACGAGACAGCAAAGGCAATACAATGGAGCAGGACAGTTTTTTTAAAAAGCAAATAGTGCTGCCCAGCCGGTGTGGTNACAATGGAGCAGGACAGTTTTTTTAAAAAGCAAATAGTGCTGCCCAGCCAGTGTGGCTCAGCGGTTGAGCATCAACCTAAGATCCAGGAGATCGAGGTTCGATTCCCAGTCAGGGTACAAGCCCGGGTTGTGGGCTCGATTCCCAGCAGGGGGCATGCAGGAGGCAACAAAGACTCTCCTTCATTATTGATGTTTCTATATCTCTCTCCCTCTCCCTCTCTCTGAAATCAATAAAAAAAATATATATATTTTTTAAAAGTGCCTAAACTGAACATACATGTGCAGAAAATAAAATCTTTCACAAAAATTAACTCAAATGGATATTGACCAAAATGTAGAATATGCAATTATAAAACTCCTAAAAGATAACACAGGACAAAACCTAGATGGCCTTGGATGTAAAGGTGACTTCTTAGATACAACACCAAAGGCNACTCCTAAAAGATAACACAGGACAAAACCTAGATGGCCTTGGATGTAAAGATGACTTCTTAGATNAAATGTAGAATATGCAATTATAAAACTCCTAAAAGATAACACAGGACAAAACCTAGATGGCCTTGGATGTAAAGGTGACTTCTTAGATACAACACCAAAGGCACAACACCAAAGGCACGATCCATGAAAGAAATAATTGACAATATGGACTTTAGTAAAAACTTCTATCCTGTGAAAGATAATATCAAGAGAATGAAAAGACAAGCCACAGGCTGAGAGCAAATTATTTGCAAAAGACACATCTGATAAAGGTATGTTCTCCAACATATACAAAGAATCCTTAAAACTCAACAAGAAAACAACCAGATTAAAAAATGGACCAAGGACCTTAACAGATACCTCACCAAAGAAGATATACAGATGGCAAATAATATATGAAAAGATGCTCTACATCACGTGCTATCAACGAGATGCGAATGCAAAAATGAGATACCGCTACACACCTACTAGACACTACACACCTACTAGAAGGCCGAAATCTGGAACACCGACAGCACCAAGTGCTGGTGAGGAGGAACAACGGGAACTGTCACACATGCTGTCGGGAATGTAAAATTCTACAGCCACTTTGGAAGACAGGACAGCAGTTCCTACAAAATATACTCTTACCTTATGATCCAGCAGTCACTCTCTTTGGTATTTACCCAAAGCAGTTCAAAAGATGTCCACACAAATACCTGCACTTGGCTGTTTACAGCAGCTTTATTCATAACTCCCCAAACTTGGGAGCAACCAAGGTTGTTTCCTAGCAGGTGAATGGATAAACTGTGGTACATCCAGACAATGGGAAATTATTTTGTTTAAAGAGAAATAAGCTATGGAACTACGAAAAGACAGGGAGAAAACTTAAATGCCTATTACTAAATGAAAGAAGTCAATCCGGAAAGGCTACATCCTATATGATTCCAACTCAGTGACATTTTGAAAGAGACAAAACTATAGGGACGGTAGAGCGATCAGTGTTTGCCTGGGGTGGGGGGCGGGGAGGAAGGGAGGAACAGGTGAAGCACAGGATTTTAAGGGCAGCGAAAGTGCTCTGTATGATATAATTATGTGTGTGTGTGTGTGTGTGTGTGTGTGTGTGTGTGTGTGTATAATTGTACATTTATTGACACCCATAGAATGTATAAGCAAGAGTGAACCCTGAAGTAAACTATGGACTCATGGACTTTGGGTATTATGATGTGTCAATATAGGTTCATCCTTGGTTAAAAAAAAAAAGATACTAGTATGTGAGGGAGCAGAGGATATATGTGTAATCTTTGACCCTTCCCTTAATTTAGTTAAATCAATTTCATTGTAAACTAAACTTACACACTGCTCTAAAAATGTCTTTTTAAAATTGTTGTGAAGACTTTAAATAAAGTATATTTGCTGAATTTAAGAAATGATTCAAAACCCTTAAGTAAAGCAAAAGATGCAGTCTTCTGGTTAGTTCCAGCCCAGATACCTAACCAAAGTAAGTGACTTATTTTTTTTAAAAAAAAAATTATGTCTACTTTCCTTCTATATTATTTCAAATGCATCGCTACTTCTGGTTTTCGCTTAGGCACACATCTGAGCCGTCCTTTCTGGGAAGCGAAAGACAATGGCGAGGCCAATCGTCTCAAGGGCGCGTCCTGAGGGGGCACCCCCGGAGTTGCCGGCGCTAGCTCACTGTTCTCGCTTCCACTGGGCAACTGGCATTCTGTTTTATCTGCGTAAGTGAAGATGCGATCGTCTTTATCTCCAAAGGCAACACAGCTCCCTCAATGATCATCCCAACATTCTCTGAGGTTTTTCTTTTCTTTTTAAATTTGCCGTAAGTGGTGATACATCTCCTCTCGGCCCCCCTGTCCTGCAAGGACATGCATTTTCCAAGCGGTTGAATGAAACGAAGGGTCCAGCGGGGGGCCACTGAACAGAGCAAAGGTAACTGCCCCGCATGAAACCAAAACCGTCGCGTTCGGACAGCACTGCCACGTTGCAAATGGAGCTTCTCAGAATTTTTCATCTGTGAACTAATTAGTGTGACAAAAGCCCCTCCGAATTCCCACCACGTCTGTTGCTCGCCATTAAACACTTCAGGAAGGGCGGCCCCTCTGGACTCGCTCCGCTGCTGTCTACACTCTACTTCTGTGCGGCACATAACATGTGGAGGGTGAGAGGGCTGAGAAAGGGGAGGGGGGTCACCTGAGGCCTCCCACCCCACCTGGAGCACTGTGGGGGTGAAAGACAATGTGCTCTCTCACCCAGATCTCATTTCCCACGCCGGTGGGCTGACTCCCTTCAGCAGAATGCCGCTGAGGCCATACAATCCAGTTTCTCCGACTCTCAGCATTTCTGTCGTTGGCAGCAACAGGAACACAGAGTCCTTGAGCGGGACTGATATAATGTAAACTCAATCAAGATAAAATAGTCCCTTTCTCTTTTGTTTCTGAGAAACACCACCCCACAGAACTATGTCCTGTCTTTGCATCACCTGTGAGCCACGACTCTTATCTTGAAGGCTCATAGATCACATTTATGACCATTGCTTTCATCAGCTGAGCGAGGCGATAGCACGATATTAACCTCGGAACGTCATTAGCGAAGCGTGCCTGTGAGTGTGTCCTCTCTGCCGTAAATCACAAGCACGCTTTTACTCTCAGGGCGCTGCCAACGTGCCAGCATTGCCTGCTCTCTGGGGCCTCACAGGAGTTTCTGCGGCATCGTTCCACAGCAGAAGGCCTGTGATGTTTGGATTTGGAGATTTAAAAAGTATCCTCTGTCCTCGTGCCTTCATTCAGCTCAGCCTTTCTGCTCTCTGACCCCGTCTTCCGCCCAGGCTCCGCCTGCACCCCCCTCTCCTCTCTGCGGGCTTCCGACGGGGGCTGGCACCCCTCCATCATCTGCTAAGCCTCAGCGCTCTGTCCGTGACAAAGATCAGAAAATTGGCCCTGAACTGCCATCGTGTTTTAGTAAGAACTGTCGTCTTTCAGTTTACACGCTTGCTCTAAGGAGAGGGCTTTTCAAACACATTCAAACGGCACAGAGAGGGGGCAGGCAGGCTCCGGGGCTCTGTTCCTTCTTACCGTCGAAAAGGGTCGCGTACGGATTCTTCAAGGACTCTACCGAAGGTTACACATAAAGTTTATACAAGACTTATGACTTTATGTATAAACTTTATACATAAAGATGAAGTTTG